TTTTTTTTTTTCTTTTTTCCTTTATGCCTGTCACCTCTGACACAGCCAGAGAGCAGCCCTGATGAGATTCTATGTGGACATCACTTTTTTTCTTGCTCCAAATTGTTAATTTCTCATCAACAGTCTTATTGAAATCAAAACGCCTGGCCATTAGACTCCAGCAGAGCAGAGGGCTAAGTCACACCACAAAATGCTGACTTTCACTCAACTACGAGATCAGGAGAGGGCTAAGCACGATGACAGACATTCTTAGGTATCTTAGGTACATAGGTATGGTAAATTCTACGTTTCAGCTGCCTATAGCCTTGACATCAAATTACATTGTAGATACTACAATTTGTTCTTCACCTTTTTTTTTTTTAATAAGAAATGACCACATAAAGTTGTAAGATGATTCAATTTGGGTTTAATGTGTAAAGAAATGTTTGTGTTAGTGAAAATATACTATGAAAAATGAGATGGTAGAGGTTGTGAGTCGTCATTTTCTTTAAATGCTGATAATTTGTTTCTTTAAAATAATGTCTTAGGACTGAGACTAGATGTTTTGTATTTGGGCAAAATTGATTTTCCTGTTTGGGACGATTGAGAAATGATACTCTGAATAATGAGATTGTAGAGGAAAGAGGGACTTTAAAAAAAAAAAAAAAAAAAGCAGGTCTCACAACCTTTGGACCTTGAAATGGAGGATCAGCCTCTTAATCCCTGGCAGAGTATGTGTTTTTCTGCCATTTTGCATCACATGCAAGTAACTTGCATTTGTCTTTCCTTTCTGATAACAGCCTTTGTCCCCTCTTCCACCAATTCCTAACTTGACACAAGACCAGGTTTGATCGACTAGATGGTACTGTACTATTGGCTGGCTTCTCTGGTTTTGATTAAATAGAATTTTCTCACTGGGCAAAAGCAAGGCTGGTGATCTCCACTCTTTGACTATGGCTCAGTGTCTTATTTCTGTACAGTGTTTCATGGCTGGACCATTTTTTATTTTTATTTTTTGCAGTACGCGGGCCTCTCACTGTTGTGGCCTCTCCCGTTGCGGAGCACAGGCTCCAGACGCGCCGGCCCAGGGCACGAACCCGTGTCCCCTGCATCGGCATGCGGACTCCCAACCACTGTGCCACCACGAAAGCCCCTGGACCATTTTTTTAAAGAACTCTTTACGCCATTAGTTCATGATAAAGAGATGTTACACCACTTGAGTAATGATGGCAATGATATTCTAGACATAAGACTTCCTAACACTGCTTCTTAACTACAGCTGAGATGTAGATAAGTCTACATGAAGGCTGAAGAGAAGGCATGCAGCCATGAAAACCACATTCTTTTTGTCAGAACTGGTAGCAGAAGGACCTGGATTCGGTTTGCCCCATGCTTCTGTCTTCCTCTGATGCCACCATAGAAAGCAGTGGGTTCCAGGAGTGAGTGAATAGCATTAGGCTTGGATAACCCCAAAACTTGACTTACCCAAGCATGTTACCTCCAGCTTTGTTCTTCTTTCTCAAGATTTCTTTGGCAAGGAGTTTTTAAAAGATAGTTCATTCTTATGTATTTCGGTTTGAATAGCCAAGCTGGTCAGAAAGCCAGTTTAGGGAAAATCACAGACTTCCACGTGAGGGCTAACGTTATAATTCCTGGTATGTGGCTGCTTCATGAAACCTCCCTGACTTTCCCCAACTCTACCTTGGTCCTTAAAGCACCCCCACCTACACACCTCAGATGACTCCTATGTCATTTATCCTGTTATGCTTTAATACTCTGTTGCATCATTCTTATCTCCTCCCCACCAAAGTTCTTGATTCAGAACCACTTTTTACTCAATATTTGAATTGCCATAAAACTTCCTTCTGTATCTTCCATCTAATAAATATGCCATAACTATTTGTTAAATGACTGACTACATAATTCAGTGGCTCTCAACAGTCAAAGTGCCTCAGAGTCAACTGGAGAGATTTAAAATATGGATGCCAGGGCCACACCCCCAGGGATTCTGATTGACAGTGTTTGGTGTTTTTGTTGTAAAACTCCCAGGTGATTTCGATGTGCGGGTCTGAGCGGAAAACCAGGGGATCAGGCTGATTCTGGGTGGTCTGCAGTATTACCTGGGAATATCATATCCCCTTTAAATGCCTATATATTTACCTTTTCCTCATGAATGATCAAGGCATGACAGAAATGCCCTGATTATCTCGCCTTTAAAGTCATTCAAAATAATGAATATGGACTGTACCATACTGGGGGTAGTTGGACATACAGCACTATGATATTACTGATTCAGATCATTTGGTTGCATTATCCAGCATGTGCTATCAATTAGCTTTCCTTGGGAAGGAGAAGGTAAATTGCTGTTTTTCACTAGACATCTGGAATTTGACTGACTGACTTATTTTTAACAGCTATGGATCCTAAAAACACCAAAAGAGGAAGGGGTTAAAACATGGCTCCTTCTAGCACAGAACTCAGAGTCTGGCAATGGTGTGATTGTGAAATGTTTTGACCTCAGAGGGGGAAAGTCTTTATTTAATTCTATGTAATGTGTATATAATAATATCATTTTAAGGCACCTGCTTCAAAATAGAAACTGGGATGTTGGAGATAATAACAATAAACAAAAATTAAAACCAAACCGGGCTCAGTGCCCAGGAAAACTATCAGATTCCAAGAACTGGGCAAGCAATAACGTAATAGAGGGGAAAACGTCAGGAATGGATGAAGTTTTAACTGCCTCCGTTAAAAATGACCACTCTGCAGTGCGATTGCTGTTGAACAATTCCATGGGGCATTTGTTGGGTGGGTGGAGTTCCTGCCCTTCTCATTTCAGTGACAAACTTCCAATGGAACTTGCCTTCCTAAAAGTGTCAGTCTCAAACATGCCAATAATTATAGCAATCTTGCTTTATGTTTGAACTTTTATAATGCTATAAACTAGTTGGAAATAAATGGACCAGAAATTAAAAAATGAGTTAACTGAAGTCAGAAGGAAAGCCTTCATGTTTCCCAGGACGCCTAAATGTCGTGTGATTTACATAAACAAAGGAGGAAATCCTCTTTGTGTGTTTAGGGGTGTGTGTCTAATACAGGAACCCATGTTTTCCTGTTATTGAAAAGCATTCTTTAATCGTTTAAGCACATTTTAGGACCCACATATATTCCAGGTGTGTTGTTTCCCTTGACATTAAAACAGCAGAGCAGGGCATGACTATCAGAGAAACCTATTAGAGCTTCCCTTTGTGTCATACAGACACATAAAATAAGTGAATTAAATTAAGTGGACAGACAGCCCTGGCAGACTGGTAATATTGTGTGAATTTAGTGAAGGGAATGGTTGTCCCTAATGGGACTTAAGCAGACTTATACATGGAGCTGTAGGCTAGACAGGCCATTTGTGAATGGAAGACTATAACATTTCCTTGATCGTGGGTGTTAAGGGGATGATGACTTTTTAACCATGAAAGTAAATGTAATTGGTGTGAAATGTTCATAAGCTTCTAGCCAAATATAACTGAATAATGGGCAGTAAACCTAAGCATTATTTGAAATTTTTAAAAAATGTTTGCTAAATTCTGGTTAGGAACAAAAGGAGAAGTTCGTATTGAGATCCTAAAAACAGCCCAGTCCTGTACCATAGGGTTCTTACCAACCCTAAAGGCAGGGTGCCCACATTTCTTTCCCCTCTTGGTCCCTGCTTTCACGACCCCAGACACTGAAGCTGTGATAAAACTCTGGTATGTGTGAAGGAGAGCCTTCTTACCACCAATCATGACTGGAATAGGTGTTTTCTGTCCTTCATCCCGTAAGGATTCTTTTTGCCATCTCTTGAGCATTTGCATGGTTATTTGCAAGTGTGGGATCTGTGGGCTTATTTGAAACTAAGAAAGAATGTAGCACTGATGCACCGTCTTACTAGGATTGCATTCATTACACGGAATGCTTTCCGCTTTTCCTGGCTCCTTTAAGAGCATCGTTTCTATTTAAACTTACAATTCTTACAGGCAGAGCTCAGGAGGAGCTTTTAGGAAAACCCTTTTAAAATACTTAATTACCTCCCCTCCCTTGAGGCTCTAATCATGAAGTAAGCAGACAGAGAAATATTCAGAGTGACTCTCTCCTGGTGGCTCGTACTTGACCTCTCTCCGAGAGGTGACAAGGTCCAGCCTCAGCATGGAAGGGAGAACTGACTAAGGCCAGGAGGAGGAACTGTCCTGGCCCTACAGTTGTGATGACCTCAGGAATTCATATGTGGAGAGGGGCAGGGGTTGTAATCAGATGCAAACTGGATACAAACTGACTATATTTTAAAGTCAAGTAGCTGGGGTTTTGTTTTTCTTTTTTCTTTGAGTGAGGTATTACTTCTTATCTTCTCACTAAAGCCTGGAATATTTACACTGGACTATATAACATTAGAAATATGCATTGCAGCTCCCTAGGGGAACCGGTAACCTGCACTTCCTTTAAAATGCAGCCTTTCCCAACTACCCCTACCTGATGCCTGTCAGCCCCATATGCTGCTTTCCCTGCTAGACATCATTGTGCATTTGTAGCCTCCATTAGAGGAGCTTGGTGTTAATTATTCCCGTCGTGTTCAGTGTGAGTGGATGACGGCATAAATGAAGCTGCCCTTACAATTAAAATTATATTGTAACTGCTTGAGGATGCACGTTATAATTTCTATTTCTTTTGAGTTCACCTCTTACTAAAGGCACACATATTCATTCATTTTCATTTTCTCTCTTTCTCTGCTTCTCTTTCTTTCTCTCTGTACTTATCTCTCCCTCTCCCTCCCTCCCTCCCTCCCCCCTCTTCCTCCCCTCTGTACTCATACACATACACACGTATATACACACATATGTATATTTATCTCTCTATACACACACACAGATATATCAGTTTTTCTCTCTCTCTCTCATTGCAAATATGTATGTGGGTATAAGATAGACACACCACTGAAGGAGGACCCAAACCACCCTGCACACCCACTAATCTGATTGGTCTTTTCTTGGCAGTGACAAACAAGAAACCCACACAGGCATCCATCACAAAGGTCAAACAGTTTGAAGGCTCCACGTCGTTCGTGCGGAGATCACAGTGGATGCTTGAGCAGCTTCGCCAGGTTAATGGCATCGATCCTAATCGGGTGAGTGAACTGTCCAGTGCTGAGCGAAGGTGTTCTTTTCACACAATGACTCTCTCATTGACCTTGGCAGGGTGATGGTTGTCTGAGTCATTTTTAACAAGACTATTTCTCTATTTCAGTTATGTGGCTAAGACTTTTTGATTCCTGTGCCCTTCTTACGGGAAATTATAAATCTTTTCATCATGTTTGATGGAGGCACCTAAGGGGATGAATATTGCAGAAGTGCTACTCCAGTAATATGTTTATCAGCCAAGTGCAAAGAGCAGAGTTCAGATAATCGCATCTGTGATTATCAATACGAAAAACCATGTTCATCAAAGCTCCATTTATCTCCTAATGCCACCAGTGATGAGGTTTATTTACCAAAAATCAAATAAATGAACTGCACCTTAAAAATGATGTATTAGGATTCCATTGGATTTAATGAGAAACATTCCATGGTAGAGTTACGTATTCCAAGTAAATTCCCTTTGCTCACACACTCACCATAAAATACATCAATAATGAGGGAAAAGAAAATGTAAAATGTAACTATATACTAAAATAGTAAGGGGTAATCTTTCCCTGCCAAAGGTTAGGGACAAGATTAATACTGTTCAGTGCCAAGAACCTAAAGGAATCCTTTTCCGAGTAATTGGGAAGGCAATGCATAGTCTGAATTCTGACACAAGTTGATATGCAGTTAAGCTAAAGGGACTTCTGTGCTCTGAACTTCCTGGGGACATCTAAAAATACCATGAGATTTGAGGTCTGCTTGATAAAGAGAGCACCTAGGTGCTAGTAAAGATGAGTCTTGTGATTAGGACAAAAGTCTTTGAAAGGTGTTTTAGCATTTATGAGTCTCTTGACGTGGTAAACTGGAAGCAGCAGTTTTTATAGCTTGAGATCAGTCGTTATTTCACTGTCTTTTCCAGGATTCTGCAGAGTTTGATTTGTTGTTTGAAAATGCTTTTGACCAGTGGGTAGCCAGCACGGCCTCAGAAAAATGCACCTTCTTCCAGATCCTCCACCACACCTGCCAGCGCTATCTCACAGACAGGAAGCCAGAGTTTATTAACTGCCAGTCCAAAATCATGGGAGGTGAGTGGGCGTTTGTATGACTTTACTCATTCTGTTTCCTTAGACTCACTTTTACATAGAGTTAGGTGTTCAGCAGCATAATTAAAGACCAGAAAAAAAGAATCCAAACGCTCAGAGCTGGACCGCATGAGGACCATTCTGGGAGTTCATTGTATGCTAATCTAGACACAGTGGTATGTTTTCACTCTTATCCAAAAGCTGATCTTTTAAAAGGAATTAACTCCTTAGTTAAGATTATTTGTACTCTGAGAACAAACCTGTCCCTTTATTAGAAAAACCTTTCCGTTTGGTTTCTTCACTACCATTTCATCGCAGAACACTCTCCTGGGTTGCTTTTTCCTAGTTTTTCTCAAGATATTTTACAAATATTGATATGACCGTTCCTACAGATACAGTCCCTTTCTTTCAAATAGCACCTAGTCTCACATTTATTCCTTGAATGGCAGACAGAGCTGAAGCAGGATGAGTGCTGTAAGCCAGCCTTAAGGAACGAGTACCAGCACTGGCAAGTTAATGGGAAACACTTAGAGGGTGCTTAGCACATTTCATTTAGGTGGCATTTCTTTTTAGAGACTTGAAACTGTGCTAAAAATATAAAGCCTTGCCAGTCACTATGGCAGTTGAGGAAGAGTGTGTATATTATTGGTCTTTTCACTGACCTGTTCTCCTGGTTTTGAAAGCATCTTTTTAAAAATGTACCAACTTTGTCTTAAATCAAATGTAAGTGAAGGTCACAATAGAGACAGTACATCTTCCCCTTGGGCTGTATCTATCTTTCATATGAACATGAGGCAGAATCCATTGTTCTGTCCCAACAGCTGCTACGCACACTCTCATTTTGCCATTAGTCTGCTAGATCTTGTGGGAGAAAATGCTGTCAATGCTTCATTATTTGCCACTGAAGTGTTAGTGTGCCTCTTAAATAGGAAGTTACTCACGTCATATGAACCTTGAAAGGTCTCTCTTAGATGCTGATAAAGACTCTTGTGTTATCACTTCTCTGTTTAGTCCTAGAGAAATATGAGGTGATGAGTGCATATTTTCTTCAAAGTGACTGCATCCTATGGTACAAAAGTGAAAAAAATATTAGACATAGATGTTGAAAGGAAAGGAAATATCAAACACTAACCTCTTACTGTTTGGAAAACATAATGAGACTCTATCATGTCTGTGCCACCAGTGTTGTTCAAATGAATCCTGCTTTGAAAATCCAGCCTTAACAGACTTGGCCAAAGATTAAAGCACCCAGGCTGAGGACCACAGATGGTCACATTTTCAGGGAATGGAAAATTGACCAGGCAACCCCAGTTTTCCCTCATTCTTCCTTAGGATCTTCTCTAGTATCCTAGAATCACATTTGTTTCTTGATCTTAAGTTCCTGCTATGAAACATTTACCCCGTCAGTATCAGTACGGTCAGTAGCTTGCCTGGCTGGCCCCTAAGCAGAGTCTCCTCTAAGAAACAGTGTGACATGTGGATTTGAAATTTCTGTTGCTCTTGGAGACACACTTTCTCTCGAGCACTCCACCTCTCCAGGTTCCATCCTGGGAGCAGAGGGCATCAGAAGCAGAGGCGGTTCCATGGGGATGACTGCATTTCCTCAGAGTGGAAATATGAGGCGGAAGCAAGGGGGCACAGACTCAATCCTCCGTCCCCATGAGGGAAACAAGCCGCCCCCTTCCTGCGGAGGTTAAGGAGAGCTCTGGGAACTCTCCCCTAAGGGACGGCGCTAGGTAGCCCTCTTCTCTGTTGTCTCTGAAGCTCTCATTTCTTCTCTCAGAACAGGCCCTTTCATTCCTTCATTCACTCTTAGCTCATCATCCAACCACACAACATGTAAGTACTAAGTACCTACTATGAGCTAGTCACTTTGTTACGTCCTCGATGTGGAGAATCATTCTATCTTTGGTCCCTTAATAGACCCTAATTGCCACTACGCAAACCCCAGACTGGCAGGTCCCTAACAGCCTTTCCATATGCATTACCCTCTCGAATATCCTCAGACCTTTCCACACATTCCCACCCAGCTGCTTCTGTCATTGGCCCAGTCTTTCGATGTCTTCCACTGCCCTATGAACCCCAAATTATGCTGAGTTGAGACAAGATTCTATATATCCATTGTTAAATTGTTGGTATGCATAGTGTGTAAAACTAAAGATTGATCTCCTGTAGTAAGAAAAAGAATAAGTTGGGCTTCCCTGGTGGTGCCGTGGTTGAGAGTCCGCCTGCCGATGCAGGGGATACGGGTTCATGCCCCGCTCCGGGAAGATCCCACATGCCGCGGAGCGGCTGGGCCCGTTGAGCCATGGCCGCTGAGCCTGCGCGTCCAGAGCCTGTACTCCGCAACGGGAGAGGCCACAACAGTGAGAGGCCCGCATAGTGCAAAAAAAAAAAAAAAAGAATAAGTTAACGAGACCAAGTGCCAGAATTGGCTCTGCCTTCTGTGACCTTAGATGTGTCTCTCATCTTCCTTAGACCTCAGTTTTCCCTGGTGTAACATATGGGGGTTAGACTAGATGATATCTACAGTCTGTCAGGTCTATGGTTTGAGAGTCTGTAATTCATAAGTTATAGCTTTATTGTGTAGGTTAGTCACTTCTTAATTTAAGAATCAAATAAAAGATTTAGTGCTGTTAAATATTGCCCAGTTCTAGATTCCCAGGGAAGGCAAAAAAGTTTGAATTAGACACATTGTCATTTGTTGGCACCACTTACATCCTTAATGAGTACAGCCTGTCTTATTTAAACAGTTGCCTATCCTTGATAACAGTTGTACCAACACACCCTAGTTAATTAGCATGTTGATTAGTCTTCCTTTCTGCCAGTTATCACAATTCAGAGACTTAAAAACATTGTGTAGTTTTCAGGTCACTACATTCTGACCCCTTTAACTTTTAGGGTACCTACCCCATCTTCAGCAAATGAGATCTATTCCAAATTTCACTAAATCTTTTGGTTTGTCCTTATGGTATGGGCCATAAGTGCTAGATACAAATTGTTTTCCATGCTGTGAAATGTGATAGATTTTGTAATTTTAGAGAACTGATGCTGCTGTTGGTGTGCTGTCCTCCATCAGGTTCTGTACATACGTTATCTCATTTAGTTTTTACAGCAGCCTTTGGAAATGCAATTTATTATCTCCATTTTACTGAGAAGGAAATAGGATCAGAGAGGTAATTAAACAGCTTGCCAAGGATCTTATAGCATTTGTCCTCAAGTGGCAGGGCTGAGATTCAAACACAGGCCCTCGCCACTCTAAAACCACCGCTTTTGGGGTCACTGAGTGGCACGCTCCAGGGAACACCATTGATATTGTCTTTGGTATGAATGGTGCCCCCTGGAGTTGTGCAGGAATTTTGGGATATATTTTAGCCAGCACATTCCTAGGTATTAAAAAAAGGAGCTAAGAGGAGAGGGCCAGAGATTATGAGCAGTTTTAATTCTTTTCCTACTTTTATTGAGGTATATGATTAAGATAATATGATGGAATCATCCGGGACCTTTAAAATCATTTTGCTTTTTGTTTTTTCTTTGTTTTTGTTCATGAGAATTTCAATATATTAAAGAGATGAAAGTGAGGCTATTTTAGTCAATGGGGAAGATGCTGGAGCCCTGGGCACTCACCAGACCTCTTAGATATTTTGTTTCTGATCTAACCCCCGTCATTGGGAAAACTGAAGCCCAGTGATTTTGAAGGACTTTTGAAGGACAAATCCGTCTGATTCCCACTGAACCATAGTTTCTTTTTTATTTTTTTTTATTTTTATTTTTTATATCTATTTTTGGCTGCGATGGGTCTTCATTGCTGCGCACGGGCTTTCTCTAGTTGCGGCAAGTAGGGGCTACTCTTCGTTGCAGTGTGCAGGCTTCTCATTGCGGCGGCTTCTCTTACTGCGGATCACAGGCTCTAGGCGCGCGGGCTTCAGTAGTTGTGGCACGTGGGTTCAGTAGTTGTGGCTCGTGGGCTCCAGAGCACAGGCTCAGTAGTTTGGCGCACAGGCTTAGTTGCTCCGTGGCATGTGGGATCTTCCCGGACCAGGGCTCAAACCCGTGCCCCTTGCCTTGGCAGGCGGATTCTTAACCACTGCGCCACCAGGGAAGTCCCCAATAGTTTCTTTAATACCAGTTCAAATAGGATTATCATTTAAGCATCTACAATTTCATGAAGTTCTTCTCATATTTATTGATTGTGTATATTCCATATGGCCAGGTTTTTCTTCTTGGGGAAAGTCAGTTACACAGAAATAAATTATTTGGATTGTTTGAAATTCTATCCTCCAAACATGATATTTCCTTATCTCCAGAGGATAGACTGGGGAGCTTTGATCTTCTGGTGCTGGTTACAGGATCCAGGAGACATGGCCAAAGTCTACAGTTGTGAAGACCCCCATAAATTGAAAGACAGCAGGATGCTCTAAGCAGGTGTGAAGCGGAAAGCATTGGTTTCTTCTGCCTTAGTCAGCATCTTTTCAGCCATCTTCTCTTCTCTGGATGATTGGAGGACTTTGTCCTCAAGCCTTGGTCATTCCTCACCTCCACCCTACCTTTCTCGTAGTTCATTCAAGGTCAGTCACCTTTAGAAATACAAAGCCATTATTCAGTTGCTGGGTCCCTAAGCTACCAAGTAACCTGCAGAGAAGGAAGGCAGAGGTGTGGAGCGTCTGGCTGCTGGAATATCACACAGCATCAGGAGCGACAGGGCCCTGAAGGTGAAGTCTTGGGTTCATATAGGTCATATTTACTTTTTCTAAGATGGTAGTTTTTTTCTGTCTATAGTAAGCAGAGATGATGATATAAATGATATACTGTTATATGTGTGATAACACATTTGTACTACAAAGATGCCTTGAAGGAGTTAATCACACATGTAGAACTTCAGGCTCTAGAAGAGAGACTTGCTTTCAAGAGAGAAACATGGTCTGCCCCAAGGGGTAGCATCAGTTTACTTATAATGGACCTGTCATATTAAGTCAAGGTCCCAAGGGGGACTTTGTTTTGCT